CAGGCTAAGCAGCATTCCAATGGGCAAAGCTTCGTAAATAGAAACAACAACAATGAAGTGATCTAGTGAGGTGCTTCACAGAGCTGGAAAATGATGCAGTGCCTCATTGTGCTGAACGAGGAGTGTGTGTGTGTGTGTGTGCGTGTGTGAGAGAGATGCTGTTTTTTATGTGGCTGAGCATGTTGTGTGCACTTTGCTCAACATGTGCATTTCTCTGTGTAAAATTGTGCATTTTCGGTGTATCAGTCTTGTGTGCGTGTCAGCAAAGGCTCAGACGCAGCGCCCTATACTCGCCAAATACCTGACGGATAGCTGCTGTGATGATGTGCCACTTGTCTGTCCTCTCGACTGGGCCAGCTAGCCAACACTAAGTGATAATGTTTGTAATCCAACGGTGGTACCCCAAGATTTCTCAGCAGGAGAGACAGGAGAGAGATAGAGTCTGGTGTATGTGTGTGCGCTGGGGGGAGGTTGTCTGGCAGCCAAAGCACAGAAACGTGGGAGGCATGCTAACGTAAGCAGCCAGTAGGACGTGCTATTACTCTCTTAGAGGCTACAATAAATTTGCACTATTCATCTGTCTTAGCAGCCAGCATAAACAAAATCAGGCATCAGCCTCTGTGAGATGCACTCCGTGATGTAGTGGTGAATAAAAAGTTGAGTAAACTAATGTTGAGCCTCCTGTCTGTTGGTCATCATCATATGGCACAAACAACCCTTGAAATATGGAGAAAAAAACTCCTTTTTTTGCTTATATTTGCTTATTTTGCTCTTTAAAGCTACGTTTTGATTATTTTTATTCTACACAGTTATTTGTTAGCATTAGCCACCAAAGCAGCACAGCGCACAGTGTTAAATCAGAGTTGTAAATAGGAGGTGAAGCAAAAGGTAAAAGGTTAAAGTCATAAATTAGCATTACATAATGATTCACGCTACAGATGAAACAGGATAGCTCATTGGCAGCGTGACCTACAGCACCAAAAGCACAACGCGCCACGTAGCTTCACTGATGTACTGAACAATGATATTACATCTTCAGTGCCGGGAGCTGTTCAGATTCGCACAAAGGTTTCACATGAAAAACACTTTGCACACCTCAGACACCTTGCTCATGATGAAAGGGCAACGTGGAAGCGTGTTATTTTGAAGTGTACTTGAACTAACACGGTAAGAATCTAAAAAAAATGCACTGCCCCCCCCTTGGCGATGTGCAGATCAATAATAGAGCACAAAGTCTTTGACCTGCCGTACATCTGGAAGGGCTCTTCGACATCCATAACGGCCTAATCGGGTGTTTGACTCCAAACACTCAAGCGTTTATGAATATCTGATGAGCACCGGGGTAAGCTTATGAATAAGTGAGGGGCCCAGCTGTGCATCAAAAAAAAAGATCAAGCCTTCACGAAATGTACCAAATGTCATAGCAGGGCAATATATGGAGCCGTGTGCCGTTCAAGAATTAGGGTAAAATTGATGTACGTCTCGAGAAGGTGTCTGAAGACGACAAATTGAGTTCTTTGTGCGCTGTTCAACCTAACAAATTCAGAAACATCTGCAGAGATGCAGCAGAATCCTCCCGAGGTGTGTCTGATAGTTTGTGCAGTGTGGAATGGGTCAAGAATGTGTTCATTTGTTGTTGTTGTTGTTGTTGTTGTTCTGGCTCTGTTCTGGAAGAATCTGTCTTGGGTGGACAAGTTGTACTTTCTTTCTTCTGCTTTTCTTTGCAGTACTCCCCATGGAAATAAGTTTACCAATAGAAAATAATAAAGTTCGAAACCTGACCTTGATGAAGGAGATGAGGAAAAAGAAAACACAGTCCCTCAGCATGTCTGTGCATAGTGGAAAGAAAAGGAAGGCTGAAGAGCGGGAGTGAAAACAGACTGTGTGTGCGCCGTCTTCCCATGTGTTTGTGTGGGTCCCTATTAGTACGGATGCCTGCGTATGTGCGTGTGTTTGGCGGGGGGGGTAACTTGCGTGCGTGCATTCATGTGTGTGAGACAGACGGGCAGCTGCGGAGTGCAGGGCGATTGTTCCTGCACATTGTGTGAACATCGACCGTCAACAAGCGAGTCGGAGCTGGAAAAAAAGCTCAGAATCAAAAAGGGACATTAGCCTTTGTCCGCTTTTCACCGTGACACAAAGCGATGGCAATCAAACATGATGAATCAGTGTACATGGTGAATGAAAAACACAAATCAAATCCTCGGAATCAAAGTTTTCAAACTGACACCCGTGCTTCTCGCCCTACGCTTGATATTTTAATTGTTTTTGAACTGAGCCGTTGTTTCCTTTCATCTGCACTCACAAACACTCTCTCCCCCCTGTCCCCTGCTTCATTCCTGTCCTCCACAAAAAAAAAGAAAACACGAATCATCGCCGCATTACGAACGTAAATGCCTGCAATTACCTGTCGCTAATGATGCCCATGCCAGCACTGAGCACCACAGCAAGCCATCTGCTAACTTTTGTTCTCCCTGTTTCCTCATAACTCCCTAATTTTCAAAAAAAAAAAAAAAATCTTCTTCATATAGAGCAAATGCAGTGCTGATGGTGTCTGTGTGTGCTCTGGCTACAACACAAGGGGGAGCGCTAATGACTGTAGTTAGCATCCCTCAAGAGGCTGGAGCAGTTTGCCAATATTTGCCCTAACCTTAGATGATTGCATTTACTTTACACTTAGGTATTTAGCCAATGCCCTCATCCAGAGTGACCTCGCATAAGTGAGCAAGCGGGGGGCTCGACGTCTTCCTCAAGGACACCTTAAGAGGAAACACATAGCAGCTTTTTTTCTGTGGCTGAATGATAAGATGTAGACCAATTACAGTCTCTCAGACCAGAAGGCCACCGTGCTCTCTGCCTAAATCCAGATTATATCTCCTCACAGCCTTAGAGTACAAGCTGTAAAAACTTAGAATGGTATAAATGTGCTGCAAAGATGTGCCAGTTAGAGGTTGATTTGAGATTGAAAACAAAACAGGCAAATATTCACATGCACTCACTCACTTCCAATCGCACTTGTACAGCTGCCTTTCCATCTACACACACGCGCGCGCGCACGCACGCACATCAGTTCGGCTGATCTCACTAAAGATAGCGAGCAGCAGCAAAGGCATGTTGTTTCTCTTGGATGGAGACTGATTCATGAATTGACCTTGACTCTGTTCCTCCAACAAATCTCCTCTAAAGCTCCAGTATACTTTGCAACAGAACCCTCTTAAACCGTGGAAAAGGAGAATTAACAACATATGAGCACTGAGCTGAAACCCAAATTGATGGAGATTATATTACCATATATTTTGGGTCAATGTGGGAATTGTAAAATATTTTAAACTAGACTTTATTGATAGAGATAATTGACAGAGATACATGAGCTTTTTTGGTATCCAATATCCCATTCGTTTGTTTAGCTATTTATGGTATTTTTGATCTCAAGGTGGATTTGATTGACAGGCTGATCGCACTTTTGATCTAACTCGGTTGTCCGCTACCGGTCGTCCCTGTCCAATTACTTTTAAAAGAGACCAAATTGAAATGAGCCTTTTTAATTGGGTCTAATTTGGCCGGTAAATGGGTGCCTATTGTCTGAAAAAAGGAGATTTAAATACCCACAAGGTAGCCTTATCAGCCCACATTAAAAGTGTTTCAAATCCCTTTAATCTGCATTAAGGCCCAAATTTGAGAAAGCTCACTGCGGACACCTGTGCAACTGCCCATTTGATGTGCACATCTGTCTGGTTTGCCTGACTTTCTATCTGCTGTCAGGTTCATTGCAAACCCATAAGCCATCCAACCCTCTCAGATATTCCTTCAAGGTAAAGCAATCGTGATTTGTCCGAGCTTCACCTTTTGGTAAAATTGGACACTATTTTGACTACGTATGATATGAAATAAGTTAAGACATCATTTACAAAACCACTCCATCTAAAAAAGAGAGGATGTGAATCTTTAAGCCATTTGAATATCCTTATCCTAAGCTGCAGTGGGGGAAGCCTCTGCACTTAGGCTTAGCACTCTCAAGACAGCTACTCCTTGTTAAGCATCGCCTCAGACTCCTAGACTATGAATGGGACCATTACCCCCATCTCTCACTACACACCCAGATACACACACATACACTCGCACACACATATTTTTGGCCTTGGTAGGAAACTAGCTCATGCTAGGTTCTGCAAGGGAAGATACAGTACTGTACCTAGGGACTGCCTTTACAATAGGCTTCATTGCTTTCCACTGCTCCCACTCACTCTCTCTAGGCTGCAGTCTTTTCACATTACAACCTACAGAACATCGGTTCTATCTACCAATTGTAGAAAATGTAACTCCTTCTTAAGGGCCTCAAGCCAAACACACACTACAAATCTGTGTAGCTTCTAAACAATTCAAGTTGGGTATTAACCCCCCATTGTCTTCCCACTTTACTTTATCTCAAAGAATACAGGGTGAGATATAGAGATCTTGTAAAACTATCCTCAGTCAAGTTGAAACTTAAACGACAAAAGAAATTTGACAGGAATTGTAAATAAGTCCAAAAGAGCTGCAAACTAAAAGGAAAAAAAGATGATCTGAAAGATGTTGATCTAAAAGAATATATCTGTTACATATATTCCCTCGGTAGCCCCTTTGATCGAATAAGCCTGACGTTTCTGAAACAGAACCATAGGTTTTATGATAAATCCCACACCTCGTCTTTACATGATGTACATTCGTGGAAGGGCTTCAGCTTTAATAAAAGTTGCAACCGCTACTACTACACCACAACCTCAACACCACATCACACCTGACACACTACACGTCTAACTAACTACTGCCAAAAATCTCCAAGCCAAAGACACCTAAAGAAATGTCTACTTGATAAGAAATATTAAAAAGGACAGAACCTCACATGTTTCTGTATGTTTGTATATTACTGGGCGTTCTACGTGAATGCTCTTGGCAGTATGTGAGTGTGTGTTTCCTGTATCTTAACGTTTTCTTAATCTCCTTTCAGTGTTTGCCCCTACCATTTTCCATGTGCTCTGCCTCACCGACACTGCCATCCGGCGTTGTCCTCTCGTAGCTGTCCTCAGGCAGGGGAAGGGCGCCCAGCCGGGGGCCCGATGAACTCTTGCTGCTGGGCGTCTCCGACTCGTCCAGGCCGCTGTCGTAGCAGCTCTGCAGCGATCCCTGCTGGTGAGGGTCCTGGGGCTGGCTCACCACCGAGAAGGTCACTCGGCGAAACGGCTACAAGAGAAACCAAACGGCCGGGGGTCACTATAAAAGGGACTGTTTTACTTGTTTAGTTTTTCTTATTGTCTGAGGGTAGCTAGGGAGGTGGATCCTCTGGATCTCGGAAGGAGATTTCGGGTCAGGATGGTAGAGAAACAGGTCAGGAAAAATGGGGCAAGGGTAAGGAACTATGCTTTAATTGGAGGAATCGTAGAAGTGTGCTAGCTCAAATTTAAGGACACAGCTATTAGGGCTAACTTAAATCTTCAAGCTAGTGGTGATGTCGCTTTCCTGACCCCCCAAAAATGAGACACATAACCTAATCTGCTCAATCACAAAAGCCAACAAAGATCTTTTATTACCACAAACAAGGTCCTGCCTTTCTCTCACCCTGAAAACTTTCAATAGGAAGACATTGTAATGGGGACATGGAGGAGGCTGTACAAAGAGAGTCTTTCACAGGCTCGCTTGAAGCTCAGGGGACCAAGCAGACACAGCAAAACCTGTGTGTTAAATACAACTAAGGACGGAAGAATGCACAAGCCTCATCCACTTGTTTATTTGCCCATTAAAAAGAGGACAAGGTGAACAAGCGTTTGGCTCTGCAGGCGGTCTGATTTGATGCCACAGAGCGAAAGCACACACGCAAAGACGAGCGCATACAAACACCTACTCGACGGCATGCGATCAAGTGCGCACGCACAAAAGGTTTTTGCCAGACGAGCTTGCGGGTTCACGCTGTCAATATGTGTGGCCTGCTGTAACACATTATTGAGCAGTGTCCTGAGTTAAGCAGTAACAGAGCATGTCATTAAAGCCGAGGCCTCTTTCTCACTGTCTCAGTCAGTTTCCCTTCCACCCCCTACATCTCTCAATCCCTGTCTGAGTGTTGTACAAAGGTAATGGCGGGGGGGGAATGAAAGAGGGAGAATGAGCATGAGGCGAGGAATGAAAGATCAGGCTTGGTCATTACCAGAATAAATGGCATAACAAATGGCTAATGCCATTCATTAATTAGATACAAACACAGTCAGAGCTAGCGTCTGTTGCCCACGCATCTTCTCTTCCAGCCCCTCGCTGGACCTTATCACTTGCTTATGTTCTCCTCCTCTTCTGGCCCCCCTTCCTCCCTCAGTCCTGCCTGTTTCCTTGTTCCATCAGGAGAATATTAAATGGGACAGAGGTCCATTACTCAAACATCCCCCCATTCCCTTCCCTTTGCTTCCCAAAGGTCTCACCTGATCAGCCTCTGTGATCGATAACTGTGATCTTAAAGTCGTGCATCTATCCATAAAGCATCTAACACCGTCATTCGATGTGAGAGGCAGATGCCAAAACACGTCAAGCTCTTATCGCGTTGGCAGATATTTGGTATGCGTGAAAGAATGTCTACATTTTCAGAAGAAGAGTGACAAATGACGCGTAAACACACACATATACACAGATAAAGAGGAAATTCCTGACAGGTCACCTTATAAAGGTGAACCTCTTTGTTATTTTGCCATGCTGAGACACTTACAGTAAGCACCTCCAATCTCTGCACATACCGAGGAGGGTTTTCTGTATGATAAAAAACTTCCCACATGCCACTGGGAGAAATGGGTTTCCTTTTGCTGTGTGTGTGTGTGTCTGTGTGGCAAAAAAAATAAATTTGCATTTATTTATATATTTCCGCCCGGTTCTCTTTCTCTGGCTGGCTGGCTAACACAGCAATCTTGGCAATAAATCATGTTTCCATGTAATTACAATCAACACTCAACAAATGAATTGGTATAAATATTCATGCAAATTTCACTTGGATAGTCAAACATTTGTTGCATAATTAAAATCGGGGGCCCAGAAGGAGAACTGCTCTCTATAAGTGTAATAACACTCGAAGAGATGTTAAGATATTAAACCATGTTTTTTTTTTATTATCATGTTTGTTTGTTTGTTTGTTTAAATTTTATTTCTCTAAAAGACTTGTTTGGTGTGAGGTGTGTGTTTACAAGTCCCACAGCTTGCGTGTGGTCGAAAAAAAAGAAAAGAAGCACTTTTGTCTGGATCAGATTTAGTGGTGTGCCATACTCCTTGGGAAACACGTTTTTTCTAATGATACAAATTAAACGACTGTTGCCTAATGAATTGCTGGCGAGACCATTGCAAAGAAAAGAAACACTCCAGCAAGCGTGCACCAAGGGAAAATTGAGTTTGGGAGAGAGAAAAGAAGCTGACGGGAAGGAAAAAAAAAAAAAAGTTAAATGAACAAATAGATTTTATTCACCTGAATTTCCCCTTATTTTCACTGGAGGGAGAGCGAGATAGAAGAGAGAGAAAAAAAACCTAATTTGTTTGCAGACCAGAAATGGAGTTCATGCAGAGATCGCCGGAGGCTTTGGATTAGAATCTGCAGCAACCACCGTCTGCACAGCGACCTTCGCTCCCTTCATTCTGCGTCTTTTAAATAAATGAATAAAATAAAAAGCGATTCTTTCTTAGTCATTTTTTTCCCTTATACTCGCGTGCATATGTCTAGGTGTGTGTCTCAGTTGTAGCCAGGGAAGAAAAATGAATTGTCCAGCATGCCATGGGAAATCACATATGGCTTTCTGGTTGTCACAACCGATGTTTTTTTCTCCCTCTCTTTCAAGTATTCAACTTGAAGACAGTTTAGGAGCTTATCACATGGCCAAACCACAGGGAAAAATTAACAAAATGATCTGCCATGTCACACACACACACACACACATACAATCAGGGTTGCCGGCTGGGGTTTTGCTGCCCCGAAGATACTTTAATGCATGAGCAATGCTAAGGCAGATTTTACATTGTGAGGAATAAAAGAAGGCTGTGTGTGTTGCAGTGAAAGCGTTCCCCTCGCTGTCTGTCCATGCTGTCATATGGCACAGAGTTGACCCCCTCTCACCAGATATTGGCCATTTTCAGACCCGGTGCGTTTGTTAAGCCTGACTGAGTACATGCCCTTTGATGCTGGTCCCTCTACCTCCTACCCTCGTGGTCCACTCCGCTGCCAATCAATCTAGCAGTGGCCGAGCCAGAAACGCGAGCACAAACACACATACAGTGCACGAACGCATTGAAATGTCATGACCCCAGTCCCATTTAATTTTAAAGGAGAGCCACTGTATTTCTAAAAATATACTTGGGAGCCAGGTCAGTCTATTGGTTGTCTATAATGTGATGGGTGATTTAAAAGCCTTATTTCAGATCATTCAAAAATAAAAAATCCTTATCAAATTAACACTTATATAAGTACATCGCTAAACCTCATGCTGTGCCACTGCCAAAGAGTGGCCAAGCTTTAAATGTATGGCTTTCATTACAAGTTGGCTCTAGCTTGCTTTATCTTAACCAGATGCTGGGACCTCTTTTCGGGTCCCGTCAGCGGAGGGCCTCTTTAGGGTGTGCCTGTGATTGAAAGCCAGCTGTGACAGCCACGGGTGATTGAGCAAATCCGTCACCCCAAAAAACGAACAACGCAAACAAGCCACAGGTTTATTGGAAGCTCTGGCTGAAGCTTGGCCCGGCCTATTTCCTGGATGCTAAAGGGAAAACACATGGGCTGCCTGACTCAAGTGGAGCTGGAGCCAATAAAAACAGGACCGTGCCACTAATGTCAATAATGTGTGACCTCTTGGATTTTGATTTTCATTTCCTCCTTCCCCCAAAACTAAACGGTGAGCCGCTGTCAGCGGCGCTCTGTTTGAGCCTTACTTCTTCTTTTATCTTCCAGCAAACCTTGAATGGGTAACACATTGTTTAGAAGTAGAACACTCTGCTTTTCCATGAAAAGCCGGAGTTGTTCAGATTGATGACACTTGTTGAGAACACAGTCGAGGCACATTACTTAAAGCTACACAGTCAAGCATTTCCTCACTCTCACTATCAGATCTCCAATCATCAGGCCTAATGTCACTCATTATGTGATACAGTACACGTGCAGAACACACAATGTGGACTGTGTTTATGCTCTACTGTGACTCCTCATTCATTCAGGAAGACTTTTGAATCCGCTCTCTCTGGATGTCTGGATTTATAATTAAGCCCACCTCCACCAGACCCTCTGGACCTAGTCAAGGATAATGGAATGATGGAGGTAGTTCTGGTTGGAAAACACTGTGTGCAATCTCAGCTGTAAATACCTTTGGCGGGTGGCAGTGACCCACTGCCGTGAACCACAGGAAGTAATTGTGGCTGGGCTGGACTTGGGGCATGGGGAGCAAACATAAACTGCAGGGCCAGTGTCTTATTGCAGTCAACCAAGGGAGATGGAGGTATGAGTAAGTGAGATGGAAAGGAAGATAAAGAAGCCAGTTGAACATGTGCGGGAGGGAGGGGGCAAAGAGAATCGGAGAGAGTGAGAGAGGGAAGTGACATATGAGTACAGCCATGATTGCCAAAAGTGCCAGTCGGTAATTAAGAAGCCATGTTTCATTTTTAATGGGCAACCAGACAGTGACCTGTGATATGCCACCTGAGACGTACAGAAAGTGCCAAATAGCCATGGTACACCAAACGGCATACTTACTGGGATCTTAAATTGGCTTAACCCAATCACGGCTGCTCGCTTTGCAAAGCTCAAATGCAGGTGAAGCTTGGTGTAACTCCAGTACTGTAAATTAAAAAGATCATGAGATACACTGATGGCGAAGCGATAAATGAGACAAATGCCCTCAAGGTGAATGTCTGACTGGAAATCAATTGGAATCTGATCAGGGTAGATTCAGGTTCTATTTGGGTGCTGCCCAGTAGCACTTAATTACTATGTTACAGGCTAAGCTAAGCACAGAACACTGATGCCTCCCGGCCTCTGTAATCAAAAAACAAGAGAGCAGGCTGAATGAGGATGGTTCCTCAGGTGCATTAGGTCCCCCGTGAGAGACCAGAGGAATTTCAAAAAGGGTTTTGCTTAGGGTTGAGTAAGTTGTGGGAATTTTTTGTCAGAGTAGTTGGCTGCAGCTTTGTTAGTGAGACCGCCTGCAGAGTTTCAGGTATCATGTTCTAGTCTGACTGAT